GTTGTCGTCAAACGTTTTTTTTCTTCTCCTTACAACCTGCCTTCATTTCCACATCTGTGCAGTAAAGTGTTGAAATGTTCGCCTTTGACCTTTGTTTCATCTCGACATGAAACCGATCATTTGTAAAAAAAAATATACAAAATCTGTTGGACAAAACAGTCGTGACCTCTTCGAATGTTCACGCACAAGTCGAAAGAACCTTGCGATGCTTTTGTCAGTATGAAAATATAAGCTACCATGTATCTGTTACGTTACGTCGTGTCATGAGAGGAAGCAGGTAGGACCCAAACGCAGCACGAGGGGGAACAAAAACTTCAACACGTCCACTTACTGGATTCCATGGCCGGGGCGGGAACAAACAGGGTCTCAGGTTAGCAGGAAGACGAGGCGTGAAGGACAGGGCGTGATCCTACAGAGACAGAGTTACGGAGAGAGGTCAACATACCAGGGGACAGCAGTGAGACACAGGTGAGTGAGTGTCACCACACTTTTTTTTTTTTTTTGCAGACCTAAGTCACCTCTACCTGACCTTGGAGGCACACAACGGTGCGGATGAAATGCGAAAAGGTCCGGCCGGTCGAAGTGAGAGCCGCGGAGGTTTTATAGCCACTTCAACTTCAAGGCCGCCGCTGGACGCGGGGGACCATAGAGACATAAGATGAGAGAGGGAGGACAGCAGCTGGACGTCAAGTGCCGTAGTTAGATGGGACCTTGGAGCTGAGCCCGGGGGTTCCGGGATTCACTGCTGGACCTTCTGGGAACGACGTGGGCCAAGTAGTGAAATGTTGAGGAAGGAGGGCACCCACTTGATAAACCCAATCTCCAGCATGTATATAAGAGTGCTTCTCAAATAGTGGGGCGGGGCCCCACTGGGGGCGCGGTGAGTTGCCGGAGGCGGGCGTGAGGGGCTTCCAATGGAATATGGCACGCTAGACATAACGGTATCTCTGCTGTAATGCTTGAATGATAACAAGCCTTCAGCCACTAGGTGGCAGCAGCTCATACAGTGGTTTGTACAGATAAACATATACATGTTATCAGGTTCTCTATAGTATTTCAATTCATGGGGGTGTAGGTCGGAGGGGGGCGTAAAAACATTTCTGTCCACAAGGGGGGGCATGACATAACTAGGACTGAGGGACGTGACTATTTTTTTTCTTGAACATCGTCCATGTGTTTTCAAAAGCTTGGTTTTGTACTGACTGGATGTTCAAAACACAACATTTTATCTTGTTTTTGTACCAAAACAAACTGCTGACGTGGGACGTTGCTGTGAAAAGGTTACAGAGACACGTCGGTGAAATGAAGCCGGCAACTTTTCCGCTATCTGTGTTTCTGTTTATTTTTCTGTCCCGCTCATCTCCACACAAACACAGCACTTCCTCCGCCGTTTGTCACATGACTCCGAAGGTGTCACTGCAAAGTGTCTCCTTCTTGTACTGCTGGAATTTTTTTTTTTGGTGAAGTCCCTGGTGAGCAGCACCCATTTCTAATAGTGCACTCGACCTACAGCGCTTGTGGCGTCCATGTCCCATAAATTTATTTTAAAAAAGTCTTGTTCCATCATTTGGATGTACAGCGCTAAAACGCGCTAACTAGTTCGCGCAGGAATTAGCTGGTGAGCACTATACGCAGCGCTATGCACAGAAGACGGATTTGTTTACATTAGTCGATTTTTTTTTTGCGGCATACATTGGATTGTGCTACATTCGCTTTCTTTCGTTTGTGTTGTTTTTTTTTTTTGGGAACTTTTTGCCCTTCATTATAGTCGATTTTTTTTGCGCCATACATTGGATTGTGCTACATTCGCTTTCTTTCGTTTGTGTTGTTTTTTTTTTTTGGGAACTTTTTGCCCTTCATTATGGCTGCCAGGCGTAAATCAGACTCTTCGGATGTTTTTCTGTCCTAGATTATGTTACCTCTGTGTTAGCATAAGTAAGTGAGGTACAGTATGTGAGTTCTGAACTCACAAACCTCAAAAGTATCTTTTGAGTACGACCCAATCCACACAAAGAGTCACTCTCCCCTCGCGACCCTTCACAAACATCTCAGAGGAATGTGAAAAACTTCCACCTCCTCGAAGTTTTTCTACCATTTCCCAAAGAATCCCAGACAGTCTGTGATAACTCGGGGAGGCCGGCGGTCGGGTTAGAGGCAGGCGCTGAACAAGCCGTTGGGTCTTGCTGCGTGTCACGAATGATGATGATGTCACTGCCAAGGCAAAGGTCACAATGCTGCCCCGAGGTTCGCGGACATCTGCTGTAAGTGAAACTCAAACATCAGTCCCCGACAGAGGCAAACAGAGCGGGGAATAAAGCTGATGGAATCTGCGCTGCAAAAACAAACCTTCCGCCGGTTCATTTGAGAAGCAGACAAACAGGATAAAAATAGCAACGCGTCGGCCCTTTTCTTGTGATCAGAAGCAGATTGTTTTCATCAGGCTAATGTTTCCCGTCACTCACTGAAATCCCAGTTTTTCAACTTCTCCTAAAAAGATCTAGTGATTTTAACTCTTAATTTCAAAGAAGGAAAACCCCATCCTTGTACCACGGTGGAGGGAGTTTTTTTTATCGCATGATGTTTTGTAGCATAAGTTAAAAAGCAAATGAGTCTTTAACTTAATCGCAATGTTTTGTAGCATAAGAAGTTAAAAAGCAAATGAGTCTTTAACTATTCCAAGTTTTTTCTTGCCCATGTAAGTGGGCGTGCAACTGGTATTTTGGTCGATCAAATGCATTTTGGGACTTTATCAAATATTGACTACCTAATAGCTATTTTTGTATTGCTGTTATGGAACAGGTTTGCTGACTTTCGAAGAACATTTTCCGCATATTTTTTCGCACCTCATTATTAATAGATTTTTTCAGATATCTAAAAATTTTTTTTTTTTTTCTATTTCCACCGACTTGGGTGATAGAGTTCCCTTTTATTTTTACAGCATGTATATTTTTCCATTGTTCACAATAAACATTAGCACTTCCTGTACCGAGTTATCAAAAATAATTTAAGCCTATATTTAAACCTAAAAAAATTATTTCTTAAATAATTCCATGTGTTCAACCTTTAGTAATTTAGTGATTTATCGGATGAAATTATTTTATTTTTTGTTTTTTTTAATTAATTTATGACAATAAATGAAGTTTTGGCTGCGATCCACCTTTTCATGCCTAACTTTGCATTTTTTTCAGTTTTTCATTTCCACTTATTTTGAAAGGACACTAAACTAGGGGTCCCCAATCCCTGGTCCGGGGACCGGTGCCGGTCCGTAGGTCATTTAGTACCGGCCCACAGTGGGACACAGTAAAAATATGTACTTTAGTTTTACTAATTGACTTCATTCCAAAAGAATCCAGTCATATCCCTTTACTATTTTCATTTAAAGATAATCTAAAAATATTTCAAAACAACAGGTCATTCAGACTCTGATACCGGACGACAGGTCCTTGGTAAAAAAACAACTGAGGGCCACTGGTCTAAACCAAATCTAAACAGTAACTCAAAATCTTCATATTTTTAAATGAAACAAAAGTAAGCACCAAAACACACCGTGAAGTGAGCATGCTTGGATTTCAGTTTGGTCTGTTACAACTACAAATATTCGACGCAAGCTGAATGTCAGGAGTCAGTTGGGTTAATGGAACACCTGCCACAAGAGGAGCATGCAACCGCAACCGAGTTTCATCGACCGACGAGCTCTGGCTCCAGTCTGCGTACGGCAGATCCACCTCCGTGTGGGGTCTGAGCCCCAGCCTGCACTTTCACTTCCTTTTTAAAAAAGCACCAAGTGATGTCTTTGTGACCACAAAGCTGCAGCACTCAGACGTCACTCCCAAGTTTTTGAAGTAACGCGTATGCGAAAGAACACTGTGTGCACTAACACACACCCACCCACACAATGGCTGGCGGTAGACACGGCCACAATCAATACGACTAAAAACAGGAAGTGGGAGGAGAGAACAGACCAACAGACACATGCACTTGGCTTCAAAGAAGAAAACATTAACACAACAAAATTCCAATTGCACTGCTTTGATGTTTTAACACCGTGTAAAAGATCGCGTTTGCTTGCTGGTAAATTTACCGACAGACCAGGAGGGGGCAAACTTTTTGACTCGCGGACCATAATTGGTCCTAAAATTGAACATGGGGGGGGGGCCGGGAGCAGATAGATGGAGCGTTGGTGTGAACTAAGATAAATGACATGTAAAAGTCATGCATGAAGGCTAACATGCTAACATGCTTTTAGCAGTTTCTACACAATCTACTGGGGAAACGTGCGTTGGACCACCTATTTACCACCAAAAGACTTTTTTTATTTCAATTCCTGTTGTAAGGTGACACAAGGTGGAAAATCACTCATCGGCAGTCATCCTGTTCTTTTTTTTTTTCCGTCTGTCTGAACTACTCGTCTCAGCTCTGTTCAACTGCATCAACACCTCCTACGCAACTATGAATCAAACACTCCTTCAAATAAACTTCTTTCCACGACTATTGATGAAAATGTATCAGTCATTCAGAGAAGACTCAGACATACACTCTTAGATAATCGCTATTTAGCAAAAACATGTTCTGGGATGGGAAGTTTTCAAGTACCGTAATCTCTGGACTATTGAGCACTCCTGAATATAAGCCGTACCCACAGAATTTAAGAAAAAAATAATTGTACATATATAGGCCACAGCAGAGGTAAACAGAAACAGGGAAGTTGGGGTCTTTATTATCAGCCACACCGACCACAACAGAACATAAACAGCTAATGTGTAACCACCTGACGCTTCAACATGACAGGGCTGTAAACTGCTTCACTGCCGTTCTCTCTCGCACACACAGCCATTCACAGACAGACATAAGCTACCAGTATAACACACAGCAGCCAGAAAAGTTCTCTCATTGGTCGCTAGTTAGCCCGCAAAAATCAATAAATTAGCATTAGCATCATTGTTTAAGGCAGGGGTGGCCAACCAGTCAAGAGGCTAATTTAAAAAAAAAAAAAAACCTCTCCCAATCTTTTAAAACTTCCAACCGGGCAAAGAGCCGCATGTGGAATTGGCTTTTTCGCAAAGTAATTTGCGTCAACGCCCTCATCACACAGCATAAAAAAAAAAACCACAAACATAAATTTCGACATGAACGTAAGAGCCGCATGAAACCGGGCAAAGAGCCGCATGTGGGTCCCGAGCCGCAGGTTGGCCATGCCTGGTTTAAGGGTTCAAAGTGTGTGAAAAATGTAGCAACTTATAGACTGGAAAATTACGGTATTTATCTCACATGTCATCCTGCTATCTCTTTGTATGATGACTTACATTTTTTATCAATCCTCCAATGGTTAAAACCATCATTTTGATCTTTTTTTGATCTTTTTTTTGTAGGTGTCAGTTACCAACAGGTGGGACTCAAGAGCAGCAACACTGAACAGCGGTCAACAGGTGCAAGACGGGACACTCCAAAAGCTCTACGAGACGCAGCAAAACAACAAAGGAATCACACAGGAGCCAAGATCGCTTACCACTTAAAACCACGGGGGCAGCGCTCTGGCACGGGTTTCTTGGCGAAGTGGCGTTTAAATCCACCAGTCTCCTGATGAGGGAACTCAGAAGCAGGTGTGTGATCCTGATTCTGACTTCACGTGAGCTGCTCCACCGCTGCTATTGGCCTTTGCTGCCACCAAAGACTGAAATCCATCAGATCCAGCCAATACTGGGATTGGTATTTGGAATATTGAGCAGCCAGGAGTTCCTCTGGGGAGAAGATGCATCAGGCTGAGTCAGTGCCAAGACGAGACGATTAAATATCTAATTTCAGATCCACCGAAACAGAAATCTATTTAAGCAGACAGTCTGGCTAATAATCATTACACAGTGTCAGGATCAGCCAGAAACACAGCAGCACCTAATACTGAACTGTGAGCTCTGTTAAATGAAAAGAAGAGCAGAGTTTAACATAGATGATTTTTTTTCTTGTTTTTTTTTATTTTTTTTTTTATAATTATTTGTAGTGACGGATCACATGAAATCTAAGCCTTTCTAACCAATTCAAAAATATTATTAAAATGTTTGTTAAAAATCACTCATTATTCAGATGGTGAAGGCTAAAACCTAACTATGTAAAAAAATAAAAAATTAACATAAAGTTAACCTAAAACCTTAAACCTTAAGTTAACCTTAAACCTTAAGTTAACCTAAAACCTATTTTCATTCCAACACTAATTACATAAAATGTACCATCTTAACAACAATAGCCCTGTCTAATAGCAATAAATAATTCAACTTAAAGATTATTGACAAATGCATAGACTGAATAATAATGTTCTATTACATATGGTGCAAAATAAATATGAAAATAAAACTTAATGTAATCATCAAAAAATACAATTTTATCATGGGCTCACTTCACTTCACTTCACTTCACTTCACTTCATCCTCCCAGATGGCTGCTGGAAGAATGAGGGAGGTGCTGGGATGCATTGGAGGCGCTGAAGGACACTAAAATCAAGGACGTCTTTGATCCCTGGAGGTAAATCCCTCTGTGAAGCTACCGAGCGTCAAGTCTGAACATTGTTAATGAGAGAAAACCCGTCCTGTTCCTCAGCCCTGACGAAACTACAGGACAACATCCATACATATCCACATATTCAGGGTTGGCTAGGTACATGTGGGAGATGTATATTATTATCATGCAACAATATATACACATCTATACAGCTATTTGGGTATATATATATATATAGTTGTATATATATATACTATATAATATACTGTATAATGACCTATAGAAAGCGTGTCAAATCATTACCGTGTCATCACTCATCCTGCCATTGCTTTTTAAAATCATTCACCTCAAAAGTTACAAATGTGATTGTATGATATAAATCAGGGGTTCCCAACTCCCGGTTCGGGGGGCCGGTGGGGGCCCGTAGGCCATTTGGTACCAGGACACAGTGAAAAAAATGTACTTGAGTTTTACTAATATCAAAGATAATCTGAAAATGTTTCAAAACAACAGGTCATTCAGACTCTGATAATAACAGAATAAAGTCTGAAAGACGTTTTATTTTGAAAATTTATTACACATTAAAAATGTATTACCGGTCCGCAGTAACGGCTGATACCAGCCGACAGGTACAAATATGGTTGGGGGCCGGTGATAAAAATAATGGTGTAAATAAAAATATAGAAAAGGAGAGTGAAATGGAGGCAGATGATCCGCTGCGGCGACCCCTATAGGCAACAACGGAGAGAAGGTGAAGAGGATTCAGAGATCGAAGAGAAGAACTGACTCTGCTTTGGTCCTAAAATTCAATTTTTTAAACAATGTTTCTATTTTGTGGAAATGGAAAATTAGGAATAGTACTTGTGGATTTCAGGAGTCTGAACAAAGAGCGTGAAGTCTAAGACAGCGTGCACTGGACAAGAATAAAGCAGAGCTCCAACCTCACTCCTTAAAATCAGTTGTAGACATAATGTTAAATATCTGCCGACATTTTTTTTTCCTTCCTCTCAAATGGACTTCCAGTCTTGTCTGAAAACCTCTGCGGTGATTACAGCACAGGTTCTACCTGAGAACCAAACTACAGCTGCTCCAGTCTCGGAGCTGTGACCTCACCACAATGACCTCAGCTTCCTCAGCCGCAGTTGAATAATTCAGAGCGTCTCGTCAATTATTTAATCTTTAATTCCCGAAGAAAATGCATAAATTGCATTTGAAATATTCAAATGCGACGCCCGACGGAGGCGCGCGACGCCCGACGGAAGGCCCTGGGAGTGACCTTGTTGTCAACTTTCATGGCCAGGGTGGGTTCCTAATTTTCTAATTAGCACAGCGGTGTCAAACTCATTTCCACCAGGGGGCCACATCAGCAATACTGTTCCCCTTGAAGGGCCGGTTGTAAATGGAAGACTGTGTAGATCAAGGGTCTCCAACCTCCGGTCCGCGGACCAGTAACAGTCCATAGATCATTTGATACCGGGACACAGTAAAAAAATGTACTTCAGTTTTACTAATTTACTTGATTCAAAGAGAATCCAGTCGTATCCATTTACTTTCTTTATTTAAAGATAATCTGACAATATTTTAAAATAGTCTGAGAGACGTTTTATTTTGAAAATGTAATGATCCTTCAATGCTCAGCTACTAATCTGTAGTAACAGGTGGTACTGGCTGACCAGTCCTTGGAACAACAAAGGTCAGGGACCGCTGGTATAGATGTAACTACTCCATCACAGACTAATACATGTTTCTGCAGTTGATTATTATTTGATTGATTATAAAAACTTTTAATTTCTTATTATGGAACTCTAGCTACTAGCTACTAACTGCTTTTTAAGCTCCCGCGGGCCACACAAAACGGCCTGTCAGGCCGCATTTGGGCCCCTCCCCCCCGTGCCTTGAGTTCGACACGTACGAATTACAACATAGAATTAAAGTGTTCAGATGAAAATCAGCTCATGCACAGAAGCCGAAGATCGTCTGCTTCACATGAAACGGCGACAGCAGGAGAATAGACGTAGGCAGAACATTCGCCTACTTTCTCCGCGGGAACCAACTCCTCTTACTACAGCCAGACTTGGTTGGACCATAATCTTCTTATTATCGTCATCTTACACTGCAGGAACTTGAGAAAAACCTTTTAATGGTTTGTCTAACCGAGGCAGAGCGTCATTTCTTTCTTACACTCTTTGAAGGTGTGCAGGTCCGAGCTGTCATTTCTGGTTGTCTTGCTCCCAGAAATCCACTCTTTGAAGGTGTGCAGGTCCGAGCTGCTTTCTCTAACTGAAGAAATGAAGTTAGAAAAGCAGACTGTGGACATCTGGACGAGGAGGAATCCCAGCCGCGGTGACGGCGTCAGACTGTCGAGCGGCCGAGGTGCAGGGAGATCGCTGCTCTAACGTGGAAATGTCACCGAGACCTTTGCGTTCACCGCCATTTGACATTCAAAACAGCCATTTAGCATGTTTGCCCACACAGAGCGAGAGTCTTCGGGCATCTGCATTCACGAAACCACCCTCACACTAACGCGGTACGCACGCCAAAACACAACCACTATCCTTATATTACTCTGTGCTCAGCCTACACAGTGCAAGAATTTGCCTTAACAGGAAGTGTAGTACTAACCAAGAACCACAGGTTCCTTGAAAAAAAAACACAGTGTACAACGCAACGGAAAATGAAACAGAAACGTGTCGAAAAGCCAACAAAGAAATTGTTGAAATATTTAGATTGAAGTTGTACGACTCTGTACATCCGTCTCCGTCCAGTGCGATAAGTTCGTTACCATGATTTTACAAATCCATCACAGAGGAACATGTGACCGAGTCGTTGGCTCATGTGGTCATGTAAATACTGCTGAACAATAACGCAATGTTGGAAGTACAAAAAAGTTATTATTATTATTGTTTATAATATTTACATCCAAACGTTATCGTAATTCCTAATGACATCACTTACATCACACGTGTCAAACTAAGGCCCGGGGCCCAAATCTGGCCCGCAGTGTAATTATATTTGGCCCGCGAGACCATATCAAATGTGTACTAGAGTTGGCCCGGCAGTATATAGACCCTATATACTGCAGAATTTGTAGTATTAGCGGTGTATGAGGTATGTTGTAGCGCCGACATTTTTTTGTTGGCCTGTGAAAAAAAGATTTACATTAAAAAGGAACTGGAAAGACTACAGATAAAGAGACATAAGAAATGAATACTACTGTGTGTTTATTATTATTATTATTATTTAATTTGTCATGTGTTTATAATATTAAGCTTTGGTCGTTCCAGATTCAATGTTTACACAAAACTAAAGTAAAAAAATATGTCATTCAGACTCTGATACTAACAGAATGGAGTCTGAAAGATGTTTTATTTTGAAAATCCTTCAACGCTCAGCACCTTGGTACCGGTCTGTACTAACAGATGGTACAAGTTTTTACTAAGCGGGCCACACAAAATGGCTCCGCGGGCCGCCTTTGGCCCCCCGGCCCTGTGTTTGTCACACGTGGACCAGTACTGGTACAGTGGGACACAGTAGAAAAATGTACTTAATTTTTTATTTACGTTCTTTATTAAAGATAATCTGGTAATATTTTAAAAAAAAAAATATGTCATTCAGACTCTGATACTAACAGAATGGAGTCTGAAAGATGTTTTATTTTGAAAATCCTTCAACGCTCAGCACCTTGGTACCGGTCTGTACTAACAGATGGTACAAGTTTTTACTAAGCGGGCCACACAAAATGGCTCGGCGGGCCGCATTTGGCCCCCGGGCCTTGAGTTTGACACATGTGGATTACATGCATTACTGAGACTAAATCCATTTCTTTTAACGACACAGAGATGCTCTTATCTATTTCCGCAACATATTTAAATGCAATATAATCATAAATGTTTTATTTTTCCAAAGCCGCCGCCGACTAACGCAGTGATGATGATGCAGACTGAGAGCTGAGTGAAACACCCTGTCCTCCGCGTCCTAACAGCGCGGTCTGCGGTGGTGGAGAGGGAGAAGAAGACAACAGAATGTGCAATTAGTCAATCAGTGAATCCCCAGCTGAACGGTCATCTGATTACTGGGACCCTTAAGCTGGATGTGATCATCCTGGATCATTTTCCCTCATTTCCGTTGCTGCTGCTGCTGCTGCTGCTGGTGGTGGAGGTCCTCCAGCTGGCTGCTGTCTGGGCCACGCACTAATGTACTATTCTTCCATTAACCGACGGTCGGGCTCTAAATGGGACTGACATGTTGT